GTTTTTGTTGTTGTTGTTTGTTTTTTTGTTTTTTGAGACAAGATTTCTCTGTGTAACAACCCTAGCTGTCCTGGAACCAGCTCTGTAGACCAGGCTGGCCTTGAATTTACAGAGGTCTGTCTTCCTCTGTCTCCCAAGTCCGAGTGCTGGAATTAAAGGTGTGGGCCACCACTGTCTGGCATGAAGAAACAGATGCGGAGGAGAGAGGGGGACAAAGAAAGAAGGGTAAGGCCCACAGCTGTACTTGGAGTTAGGTGGAGATGACAGACAGACAGACAGACAGACAGACAGAGAGGGAAGCCAGAGACAGCCAAGTGACAGGGCTGAGAAAGACAGACACACCAGGCATGGTGGCACACGCCTTTAGTCCCAGCCCTTGGGAGGCTGAGGCAGGAGAATCTCTGTGAGTTCAATGTCAACCTGGTCTACAAAGCAAGTTCCAGGACAGCCAGAGCTGCTTGACAGAGAAACCCTGTCTCAAAAAAAATCAAGGAAAAGGAAGAAGAGAAGGAGAGAAGAGAAAGAAGGAAAAGATAGCCAAATGAAGAGAGGGAAACACCCCTAGAGAGGGAGATAGGCCTAGACAAAGAAACGCAAGCCCCAGAGAGCCACACCCCACAGAATAGACGGGAAGACAGCGTGAGAACTGGGGATGGCAATGTGAGGGGGGCGACAGCAGTTCTCAGATTTTGACTCACTGGGAGCAAATCTAACATCCAGATCACTCTGGGACCCAGAACAGGCAGAGAACAGGAAAGAGAGCTCAGAACGTAGCTTATGTGACACAGAAATACTGGGAAAGAGGTTGAAGGCAAAATGGGGACGTTCCTCTGCTGAGAGGCTGGTCAGTGACCACCCAGGATCCCAGCAGCACACCACTGTTCTCTCACAGAACCTGGGCCACCTGCCCAGGGTGACCCTCAGCCCTCCCACTGCCTGGCTCCAGTCTCATTACAGCTCAAGTACTATAAAGGACTCCAGACCACACAGCCTACCCTCAAGGTCCCATTTCCCTTGTCCTCCTTTCCTGCTGTCCCCTCTCCCTTAATTTCCCCCCTTCTTGGTCTTCTGGGACATGTTTGCTCTGCTTAGCCACTGATTCGGGATTGGGTGTCCTTGCTTCCTCTCGTGGCCCCCCAAAGCCTGATTGGGTTAGTCTCTTTGAAACACCATCCATGTCCTGCCTGGAAGCTCAGAAATACCAGAGGCCAGCAAGGCTGTGTAACAAGCCTACATCCCCGCAGCATCCCCCTTTAAAGTCCTTGGGTCTCCTCAGACTCCTCTTTTGTCCCCAGATACCTGCGTGGTGTAGTGTGTGGCAGGTCAGGGGGCTGGGCACTGGGGCTGTGTGAACTAGGTTTCAATTCAAATGAGACCTGCCCCAGTCTGCAAAGAAATCTCAGGAAAGGCATCTGGGGGCCCCTCGTGTAAGTAGCAAGCTCAGGAATTCCTTGACTTTCATCCAACCCACCCCCAGCCCCTTCTTGGCCTTTCTCTCTCTGCTCATTACCATCCACACCACCTCCCGCCCACCAGGAAAGAGAAGGTCATCGGCAATCCAGGGAAAGGGGGCTTTCGGGAAGATAAACCAGGGTGGAGCTAGAGCTGTTAACCCACACTCCAACTCCCCTTGGCTCATCTCCACTCCCATCCAAAGGCCAGTTAACAATGTAAAGTCATTCAGCCACACAAAGCTTAAGTAAAGGAGGGATCTTAACCCTAAGTGGTCTCAGTAGAGATCAGAGCATGAAGTGCGCGCGATCAAAGATCAAAGCTCAGTGCGGAATCTCCTCTTTAGGCACTCATTTTGGAAAGGAGAGGAGGCTATGGTGCCACTGCTAAGAAGAGAGGTAACTTGGAAGTTGTCTCCAGAAGGTCCCAAGGAATTTGGCATTGTGTGTACTTCTGTGCATTGCTAAGGGATGGGGTGGGAGGGCGTAGCCTGGAATTCTTGGGGTCTCTGCATACAGCCTTGAACCCAAACAGAGCTTAGATACCACCTAAGGGCTTCTCCTCTGTGTCCTTTAGGATGACCTCATCATTGGTAGAGACAGAGCAAGTGCTTACTAAGTTTGACTTGACACAATGCAGGGTCCCCCAGACCAGACTCAAATTAGGGACTTCTCCTGTGGGCTCCCAGGGGTGGGGGATGGGGGATAAGCTAGAGGAGGAAGGCTGAGTCTCCAGCTTTGACCCTCTTTCTGGAAGTCCCTAGCAGGCCCTTGCGTGAGGAGCTGAGCTCTCCAATAGTGTCTAGGACCTCGAGGCTGGACGTTTATTTTGAGATTTGAAGCTCCGAAGTGGCAGATCCCAGAAAACCTCTTCTCTGGCTCCGCATTTGTCCTCTAGTTAAGTGGTTGAGTGCTCTTGCGGTCAGCTGGCTCCTGCAGCCTGAGGATCTGGGGACTGTGTCGGGTAGAGGGGGAGGAGTAGAAGGAATAAAATCCCATCCTGGGTTTCCTACTCTAGGGCAGAGGTTGGCCTGTAAGCTGTGAGGAGTCTGTTGCCTCAGTCCCCTCCCTTCTTCTTGGAGCTGCTGCTGTTTTGGGGTGGGGGCTCATATCAGAAATGTACTTTAATAGCTGAGCATCTGTGGCGTGCCAAGACTAGGTCCCACTCAGCTATGATGGTAGCTGAAGCCAAGGAAGGGGCCTCAGAAGTGAATCTGGGGCCCATGTGTGTGAGTCCACCCAAAGTTAGATGTGCTCATCTCCAGCTCCTGTCCCACAACCCCAGGCTCATGCGTACAAATAAACACAGGGCCAGAGTCACACCCAGGTCTAAACACACAGGGGAGTCTGGGAGAGGCATCCAAGCTGGAAGACTTAGGCCCTGCAAAGGGGCGGAACTAGGCTGGGAGGGGGTGAGAGTGGTCCAAAGACAGGGCTCCAGCCAGGAAAGAGCTTAGACTCACAGCCCCTTACCTGCCCCTCACAGGGAATGGCCTTAGAGTCTGTTCCTAAATAAAGACATAGCAGACCAAATGACAGGCATGAGAGGAGGGAGGGAAAGGCCATGGCCAGCTGCTGGCTCCACACGCTCTCCGAACTCACCCTTTTCACTTTCCCACCCCACAAACACCCACACGCCCAATGCTGGTGGGCGACCTCTCCTCACCCCCACCTTAGATCACCCTCCATTTAAACTCTACTCTTCCTCTAGGGCACTCTGCCCCATTTGGCTGACCCCTTCCACTGCCGGTGTTCTCCTGTCTGGGATTATCTGCTGACTCTTTCTGGTAATGCTCTACACCACAACCTGTCCTGCTTATTTCCTGTCTCCTCACTTCCTCTCTTCACTATCACTATGCATGAGGCCTGCCCTATTCCCCAACCTCTGCATTTACCACTTTGTAACAGTCTGTATGTTTCGTTTCGAAAGTTTATTATCTATCTCGTTCAATAAAATGTTAGCTCCATGAAGGCAGAAATGCTTTTTTGATGTGTGTGTGTGTGTGTGTGTGCGCGCGCACACACACACGAGTGTGCATGTGTGTTCTCTGAGCTCAGCCCAACCCTAGCAGAAGAAAGAAAATGGTATCTGTGGAATTGATGCATGTCAATTGGCCTCTTACCACAAAAACTTCAAGCAAAGGACTGAGCTGTGGGGAGAGAGGGCAAATGCCCTCTGAACTTTCCTCTCTTCTCTGTCTCAGAGATGTCTGCAGCCAGCTGTGCCCTGTCCTTCGCACTCTGGCATCTAACACCCCCAACCAAACAAGGACTGACAGTGAGTTTGGGGTTAAGGTGGGTGGGCAGTCACTAGCATGATGTTTACATCAGGACTTTATAGTTTAGATAAAATCAGGAGGAGAGGCAGGAAAGACACCTGGAATTGGAAGGCTAGGCAGGAGAAACTGAGGCTGAAGGGTTTAGGTCAGACCGCTGAGGCAGCTTTCATGGAAAGGCTCAGGGCTTTAAAGAATTTTTATGTTTCAGTAAGAATCATTCTGCCCCACAGGGCTTCTTCCTCCCACCCAGGGAAGTGCAAGCGCGTTGTGAGGTGGGGGCGGGGGTAATAGAAAGGGAGCAAGGAGTCACTTTCAGCCCACAACACCTCCCCACTTCTTCCCAACTTCCCACACCCACCCCCCGGGCTCTGCGGGGCTGAGGGAGGACCAGCGAGTAGTGGAGAGGAGGAGGCTGGAAAGGGAGGGGGAGAGAAGGCACCAGGGCTTCCACTCTCTCCGCAGGACCCCCACCCCGGCCTCTGGTGCGGGAAAGCCGCCCAGCTGTTTCTGATTCTTTCCTAGTCGCAGCTCCGCCCGAGGGGGTGGGGGACGGAGATACCGGGAAAGAACGAGCTCGGCCGAGCCCCGGCCAGCCGTCAGGGCACCGGCCGCTGCGTCCCGCCGGCAGGTGTGTCTCTTGGGCAGCTGCACGATCTTGAGCTGGGGAAAGCACCTAGGTGGATAGGAGCTGGGTCTCAACGACGTGCGGGACGGAAGGATGGTGTCGGTGTAGTGGGTGGGAGAAGCGGGGGCGATGAGGGAGTCCCCCGCCCACGGCGCCCCTGAAGGCAGCGTGACCAAGGGAGTCCCACTGTCTGTCCACTCCTGCTGGCCGGGTGTTTATCAGTTTCCCAGAAGCCCAAGGAGAGGAGGACCGGAGGAAAGAGCATCTTCTGCGTTTCTCTCCTGTTTCACCTTAGGCTAGGGGGCGGGAGTGTCCGCAATCGATCCCCCCACGCCCGCACTGGGTGAGCCTTGCCACCAAACCCAGCGGTCCGTGTTGCTGAGTGAAGGGCGCTAGGACCCGGTGGCGTGGCGTGGCGTCGGTAGGGACAGGGGCTGCAAGCAGAGAAGAGCCCCGTCGCGGGTGGCCAGAGCAGGTGAGGGCGCGGCCCGGTGGCGCCCCGTAAAGCCGAGGGGAGGAGGCGGCCGCCACACCTAGGGCGCCGCGGAGCACCCGGGTTGGCGCGGGCGGAGCCGTGCTGAAGGCCGCGCGTGTCCCCGGCCCCGCCCCGCCCCGTCCAATGAGAGCTGCGGCCGCAGGGGCTGTCCGCGCGCTCTGGCCCCCGCCGCACTCCGCGCCCCAGAACCACTGACACCGCACCCGAGCCGCCTACAACCAGCTCACTTCTCGTCGGTCTCCTGGCCCTGCAGCTCGGGAGCTCTTGGGAACTCTGCGCCCAGCTCCCGGACTCCACGTGCCCTGCGGTTCCCGGTCTCCCATAGTCCCCATGGCCACCCTGAAGGGCGAGCTAGGAGACGACTAAGGAAGCCCAGACGGTGCCCGTCCAGTACCCTGCGGGTTGCGCGGCGGGAGTCTGCGCGGAGCTATGCTGAGGCCCCGGGGTGCGGAGGAAGCTGCGCTGCTCGCCCATCGGCGTGCCCGCGTCTTGGTTCCCGCACCCAGACCCGCGGCCCCCGACGTGTCCCCTGCTTCCACCCGCCTGGGTCTTGCCTGCCTGCTGCTGCTGCTACTGCTGACTCTGCCAGCCCGTGTGGACACATCCTGGTGGTGAGTGTGGCTCTGAGGGGGGTTAGGCGCAGGGAAGGAGTCTACTGCTGCAGGCACCGGCTGCTGAAGCACCAGGTAGTTGTTGCCTGGGTGGAACTGGAGATGATGTCCAGGCAGGACAGTCCCAGAAGTCTCCAGTGGCTGGTGAGGGATTGGAGAAAATGAGGCGCTGGAGAGAAGAGCGCTGAGCATCACGAGTGAGGTAGCTGGTAGTTGAAGTCCCCTAGACTGCTACATCGTGTCCCCTGTATTTCTACTCAAGCCCCTATGGCAAAAACTACCATCAGAATCTCCCTCAGAGTTGGTTCCAGGAATCAGTCGCCTCTCCACGTCCTGCATTGGTTATTCTGCACAGTCCACAGTCGTGGTCTTCAAAAAATCTTCAACCACCTAAGGTCTCCCCAGGGGATGTGGAGTAGGGGGCAGCTGACTGGGACCCACATTCCTCTGCTAGTCTAGGCCACACAATGAGACAGTAGTATCCACAGCGAGGCTTAGAAGTGAAATTGAGGCACAAACTACCCCCCTCCCCTTAATTCCCACAATTGAAACAAATTAAACACTCGGGGTTGCATAACCCAGGCATTTGTCATCAGCCTCGGCTTTGAGGGTGTAATTTTGTACACTGATGTCCTTTTTTGCTTCCCTGCCCCAGATGACCTAACCTCCCACCTCTCCCCTTCAAGCCCCAGAGACTTCTGGAGTCTCAAGAATTCTGAGACCCACAGACGCTTCTAAAAGGCAGATGAGGCAAAAGGTGTCCAGGGTCCACTGGAAGCCAGGCTGTGTTCTTTGTACAATTCTCTACCCAGCCCCAGAACTCCTCCAGCCCTGTAGTCACACTCATCTTTCCTGAAAGGGCAAAGTAAGGGGAGCAGAACTGGACTTCGTAAAGATTTAGTCCCCCATCTTTCCTCCTCACTCCTCAGTCAACGTGACTTCTTGGACTGGGCTAGTGTCCTTCTCTGACATGCAGTGTCTCCTTTCCCTCTGCTCTGTCCCTCCCCTGAAGCAAGTACCCCCACACACACACTCCACCCCCCACCGAAGCGAGGACTCCTCTCTTGCACCCTGTGGCTTTTCTCCTCTGGACTAGGAGTCTGGGCTGGAAGGGTGAGGGTAGCTGGCTGAGGGGCGAGCCAGCTTGGGCTGAGATTCCTATCATTTCAAGATGCTTCTCTCTCCATCCCCACCCCCACCTCTGTTTTCCTGTTAAAGAAAAATCTTTCTTCTGGATCTTTTTTTATCTCTGCAGTGTTGGGGAAGGCAAGGAGGGGGGTTCGCACGGGGAAGCAGGGAGGCCTATATCTTACATCTGGCTTGAAACATTCCTTTAGAAAGGGAAAGAGAAAGAAGGAAGGGGGGGGACGGTCTTTCAATGATCAGAGATCAGAAGCCCCCTTTACCTTTAAGACACAGTTGGGCTGAGGACTTACATCTTCAGGGTCCCTGTGGAGAAAGAAAGCATGGAAGCACGAAGTACCCAGTGCCCGCCTCTATCGGCCCACATGGTAACTGGCTTTTTGAAACATTTGACTGCTTTTCAGCAGTTTGAGACAGTCTTGGTGACCTATGGATGAGGAAGTGGCACTCTGGACATCTCCACATCCTGGTAGCAGTCCCTAAAGACTCACCTGCAGCCCTTGACATGGTCCCTAAGACTCACCTGCAGCCCTTGACGTGGTCCCTAAGACTCACTTGCAGCCCTTGACGTGGTCCCTAAGACTCACCTGCAGCCCTTGACTAGCACTGCCTGTCCCACTGCCTGTCTCCTTCCCTCCTAGCATGGTTCATCTTAAAGATGTTGCAAAAGCTAATAGATGGCAGAGCTAGGTAGGGAGGCAGGTGACAGAGGGACTGAGTGGTTCTTAAGTCCATGAAGACAGCCTCGGGGCTAGGATGAGTGTGGGTACAGAGCTCATTTCCATCTCCTTGCCCTCACTTTGTCACAGCTACAGCCATAGGTGTCTGTCTCAGTAGTCATCACTTGTAGAAGGAGGAAACCTGAATTCTGAAGGCAGGTCTGGCCCCCACGATGATTATCCCAAGCCTAGCAAGGCTAGTATTGTGTGCAGTCCCTGGAGGAGATGGTTGTCTATTGATTCAAGAGTGTCTATGCTCTATGTTGGAGCAGAGGGCCCTCCCTATGACCACCAGTCTGATCTTCACAGCCCAGGGTTCTTCCCTCCCTCTCCAATAACTCCTTTGTCTCCTCCTTCACTCAAAGAAGTCACAATGGTTTCTCCTTAGTCTATGACAAGAGGTGTGGATAAGTGGAGATTCACAAGACCTAGGCATATTGTTGGGCTCATAAAAAGAGAGCATAGAGTAGGGTATATTAGTATTGCCGTTACTGTAAATACACACCCTGTACCGAGTCTTTCCTAAGTTCTAGGCTGCATCACCTTGTTGGGCATCATCTTTAATCTCCAGGGTAAGCCTGCTGTAGGTACTGTTATAATCCCTGTTTCACCAATGAAGAGAGAGGAAGGAAAATAAAAACAAAACAAGCTTGCTGGGCATGGTGGCACACACCTTTAATCCAAGCACTCGGGAGACAGAGGCAGGTGGATCTTGGTGAGTTCCAAGTCTGCCTGATCTATATAACAAGTTTTAAGTCAGCCCTATCTCATAAATAAGAAAAAAATGCTTAATTTCATACCAATTTTGGAGTTATATGGTTTTATTTCTAATCCAACATTGTGTGCCTCTCTTGCTCCTAGAATAAAAAATCAATTTTGGCTGGGTATGATGGTGTACTCCTGTACCACTACTTGGGAGACTGAGGCAGGGGAACCAACATTTTGAGGCATCCTTGGATGTATAGTGAGACTCTCTCAAAAAAAAAAAAAAGATCCAACTACAAAAGCCGCTTGAGTTTGAAGTCAGTTGGCTTCCCTCATCTTGGTTTCTCCCCAAGTGTCCCTTGATAGAGTGGGATTACCATCAATATTCCTGAACCCATAATGTAGAGATTTCCCTGGCCCACATCCTGTGGCATCATCTTGGTGGTTTGCTGTTGTTTTTGAGACAGCGACTCACTATGTACCCTGGCTGCCCTGGAACTCTGTACAGACCAGGCCGGCTTCAAACTCACAGAGATCTACCAGTCTCTGCCTTCTGAGTGCTGAGATTAAAGTTATGAATCACCATTCCCAGCTAAATTCTAATACTTCCACCAGTGGATAGACCCAAAAGGAAGGGCTGGAGATCCCTGGCTCCACTAAATGTACAGAAACGTAGACTGTCTGAAAAAGGATGGGCAGTGCTGATAAAGAATCAAACTAACTCACACAGAGCTGGTGGCTGGCTAGAGGGAGACAGAAGCTGAGGATAATAGAGCATGTGTTTATTCAGTAGCTACTGAGTGCCTACTATGTGCCAGAGGCTTTTCTTAGCACTGGGGATACTGACATGCAGATTGTGATTCCGCTGACCTGGAGGCAGAGTCTAGGCACTTAACAAATCCCAAGAAGCAAGGGGCTAGTGTAGGGTCTGAGTGACTTTGTCTAGGGAAAGAGTTGGTCAGAAGCAGGTAAAGAGAGCACTCTGGTGCAGAGGCTGGGAAGGAAGTGAAGAATTAATTTCTGAAAGGGCAAACAGGAAGTCAGGACTGATGCATCCTCCCCCAGACAATGATCTGAGGGATGCCATGAAGTCTTTGTGCCCCTAACAATTAAGCTGGGTGCCTGGAGTGTGGCAGGCATTGTGCAAGCATGTGTTGAGCTGAGGGTGATGGGTTCAGCTTCAGGCTCAGTAGTATTGCAGTTCCCACACTTGACTACAAGGCTCCAAGAACCAGACAGCAGGCAAGTCCCATGCAGGGTCTTGAAGCAGTTACTTAGGAAGTAAGCAGGGTAGTAGGAAAGCCTAATTATCTTTCCATCGTAGATACTGAACAGATGTTCCCATGCTCATTGAGAATGTAATATGAAGGATCAATGTGGGCTACGGCAGAATGGATTAAAGTCAGACCACAAGAAGGCCCTTTTGCCAGAGTTTGGCTTGCCCCACTCCAGACTGTCTATGAGAGCTGGATTATTGGTCTCCCATTCTCAACCAACCTCCTTCCTCCAAGCCCCAGATAAAAAAACAAACACCCATTGCCTAGATCAGTAATCTGGGGCTGAGCTGGGGAAGCAGAACGGTGGTGAGACAGGGACAAGCTCCAACTCCGATGGTTTCAATACTCCAAACAAAGCACCAGGGCAGTGGGTGTAACTCAAAGCTGTGCGTCAGGCAGGCCTTTCCGGACTGGCCCAGCCTGGGGTGTTTATTTTGTTTGTTCCTGGAAGCTGCTGCCCTGATGGACAGTGCTGGGGATGCTGATTCCATGGGATTTGTTCTTGGAGGAACAGCCCTCTCACCCTTCCCTGTGGACAGATGGGGCTCATCAGCCCTGCTGAGTTCCCGACGAGGCAAGCATCAACCCTCCTTGTGTTTGCCTGAGTTCCTGTCACTAGTGGTGATCTAGTCTGTGGGTGATGGCTGGCTGTGGGAATGTATGGTGGGGGTAGGGCTCAGGGCTGGTTGGCTTGCCCCTCCCCTACTGGCTGCCTTCCCTTCTCTTCACTCACTTCTAGGCCCACTTTGGGGACATTCCCAAACCACTGGCTCATTCATAGTTCAGACCAAAGTTTTCCTGTTTGCAGTAGCAACTGATGGCTACAGCTCCCACCTGTTCCCAACAGGAAAGAGAGTGGAATTCCATTTCAGTGTCAGCACAAGAGAATAGAACGTGCTGAAAGGACCAAAGACAGCATTGAGTGAAGGGTGTGCTGGGGGTGAGGGGCGGCACACAGGAGAGAGAAGGGTGTGCTGGGGGTGAGGGGCGGGGGGGGGGGGTGGGGGGACACAGGAGAGAGAAGGGTGTGCTGCAGGAAGGAAGGAGATGGGTCTCATCTCTTCCGGGACTATATGTTCCTGCTTTCTCTTCAGAATCTTTTGAGGGCATGGTAGAATCCAGGGGGTAAGATTGCCTTGAGCAGTTCTGAATGATGTTGGCAACCCACCCATCCTTCAGTGGTCATCTTGCTTGACCGTGTAAATTGTTTAGACTAGAGATTCTATCACATTGTTTATTTGTTTGTTTATTTATTTATTTATTTAAAGGGACAGGTTCTCACTATGTAGCCCTGGCTGGCCTAGAACTCCATGTATGCTAGGCTTCCCTGGAACTCAGCAAAATCTGCCTGTCTCTGTCTCCTGAGTGTTGTTCAGGCTTCCCATTGCAAACAGCTTTGTCCATGAAGGTCCTTCCTGGACATTGTGCCTTATAGGTTGGAGAAAGTTATTTTAAAAGCTTCATTGGTTAAGAAAAGCTCTAGGGCATGGAAGTAAAGGGAATGGGGAAGAGGGTAAAAGATGGGTCTTGTTCTATAGCCTGGGGATTGGAAGTGAGGATTTTTTTTTAGCCACACAGTCTAAAACTGTAAACATTCCTCAGAACTACCTATCGTGTCTTCTCAGCCCCCTCCTCTCTTCATCCTGCTGTGGCCAAGCTATCTTCATAGACCAGCCACTCGAGTTGTTCATGTGCATGTAAGAGTGTTGTCTCAGATTCTCGTTTTGTTAGTTTATTTTTCTGTGAGGATCCTAATGTTTATTAAATAAACAGGCAGTGGGTTTGTATGACATGCCCACAGCTTCTGTGTATATGACACATGCTTGGCTTGTGTTGCAGAAGTGTGTGTGACTTTAGCCTTTGGCTAGGGAACTGGTAATGGTGGGAGACCATTCAATTACTCTTTCTGCAACTGTGTAGCTTTTTCTTCCGAGATCGTGGGTTCTATCCACGATCAGCCCCAGTGAATGTCTTGGGAAGGGAAGGAATCTCTTTAAGGTCTAGATAGCTGAACCCTCTGATGGAATGCTATGACAAGTTCACCTCTGCTTTACAGGTACATAGGGGCACTGGGAGCCCGAGTGATCTGTGACAACATCCCTGGTTTAGTGAGCCGGCAGAGGCAGCTGTGCCAGCGCTACCCAGACATCATGCGCTCAGTGGGCGAAGGTGCCCGAGAATGGATCCGAGAGTGTCAGCACCAGTTCCGCCATCACCGCTGGAACTGCACCACACTGGACCGGGACCACACTGTCTTTGGCCGTGTCATGCTTAGAAGTAGGGTCCTCTTCCAAACTTTCTGCCTCCTTCCCTTCTTTGTTTGGGGTTTTGAGTTAGAAGGGTAGGCATGATCCCCTTCATTTTCCTACACACTACCTCAAAATCTAAGAAACAGTTGTGGGCAGATTTGGGAGACAGGAACAGCTGCTCATTAACCTAGATTTGTAAGTCAGGACCCCCTCAACAAAAGTGCTTTGACATGGTGGGTCAAGGTAATTATCCCTAATACTTCCATCTTTCTCCCTGCCTTTCTCTGGCCTCCCCATATCCAAGACAGGCAGGCAGCCGTGAACTATATGACTAAGGACTAGAACCAAGTCCTCTGCATCTTACCAACAGTCACTATCGTCACCCAGTCACCCTAACAGTCCCAACATTACAGTGGTTAACAAGAGATAAACAGAAAGGTGATATGTAAATATTTGAAGAGCTAGTGGCTTACCTCCAGTTCAGCAAGAGTTTAGCAGAGCTCCTCAGCAGAGAAAAGAGATGAGGCAGGCCTCTGAAGGTGAAGGAGAGATGGGGGTGATGAACATAGGTCCCCAAGGGCAAGGAGAGAGCCAGAGCAGGCTAAAGGTAGCATGTGTCTCTGAATAGGCTGACCCTGGGCAGGGGTCAACACTGCAGGGGAACTGTCCAGCAGAGGGGGCCTGAAACCCCTGGAATGTTGACCAAGGCAGGTGGCAGCCCTGCATCAGGACTAGTGCATATACGTGTGCTCTCTCTCTCTGTCTCTCTGTCTCTGTCTCTGTGTGTGAGAAAGAGACAGAGACTGACCTAGGGAAAACAAGAGGAAATAGAACAGAGCCAGCCCAAAGAGGTCAGATGTACCAAGGAGCGGGACAGTGAGAGCTGGCAGGAGAGGCCGACTTCTCTGAGGAATGCTCTTAGAAAGGAAAGACACCTTGCTAAGGAAACGTCTGAAATTGTGCAGATTGAAGAAGGGGCAGAGTTGGGCATGTGGCCAGTCCCTGACATGCTAGCACCGGGGAGGCTGAGACAGGAAAATCTCAAAGCTGGGTTACATAACAAGCTCCAGGCATGGACTATTGAATAGGACGTGTGTGTGTGTGTGTGTGTGTGTGTGTGTGTGTGTGTGTGTGTGTGTGTGTGTGTGTGGCGGAATGGAAGACATGGACTGTTACTGTAATATGTCTCTGACTCTCTCTATGTAGGTAGCCGGGAGGCAGCATTTGTATATGCCATCTCATCAGCAGGAGTGGTCCATGCTATCACTCGGGCCTGCAGCCAGGGTGAATTGAGTGTGTGCAGCTGTGACCCATATACCCGTGGTCGGCACCATGACCAACGAGGGGACTTTGATTGGGGTGGCTGTAGTGACAACATCCACTACGGTGTCCGCTTTGCCAAGGCTTTTGTGGATGCCAAAGAGAAGAGGCTTAAGGATGCCCGGGCCCTCATGAACTTGCATAACAACCGCTGCGGTCGCACGGTCAGTACTCACATCTGGGTATGTTCATTCATATTCTCTGGTGTAAACTGGTTAGTGTGACCACAGGCTGAACTCAGAGGTGGAAGAGTTGATGGCTTCTGGATTACTTCCACAATCCCTAACTTCTGCCACAGAATGCAAGGGAGCCTGGGGAGCACAGGTTCAACCAGGTTTTCATTACAGGAAAGTAACTTTCTCTTTCTCTTCTCCCCCCTCATCCCCTCCTCCTCTTTCCTGTTTCCTTCCTTTTTGCTTTGTTTTGGGGGCTGCTTCTTTGTTTTTGAGATAGAATCTATGTAGCCTTGGCTGGCCTGGAATGTAACATATACACCAGGGTGGCCTTGAACTCACACACATCTACCTGCCCCTGCTTCCTTAGTGCTAGGATTAAAAGTGTGTACCACCATGCCCCACCTTGCTGTTTTGTTCTGAGACAAGATTTCACTAGGCTGATCTCAAATTTGTGGCACTACTCCCATCTCAATCTCCTGAGTGCTGGTATATATTTAGTTCAGCCACCATGCTGAACTAAAAAGTAAGTTTTAAAGTTTTAAAAATTTGATTGGTTGGCGGGGCAGTGGTGGTACAGGCCTTTCATCTTACCACTCAGGAGGCAGAGATAAGAGATTCTCTGTGAGTTCAAGGCCAGCCTGGTCTACTGATTGAGTTCCAGGACAGGCTCCAAAGCTACAGAGAAACTCTGTCTTGAAAAAAATGGATTTGTCTGTGCTTGTGTGTACACAGGTATACGTGCATGTACATGTGTGTGCTGTCTCACAGAGGCTAGAGGATGTTAGATGTCCTGCTCTGCCACTTTCCACCTTATTCCCTTGAGACAGAGTCTTTCACTGAGCCTGGAACTCAAGTCCCAGCAATCTTCCTATCTCCAACCCTGTTCCTGCCCCCAGCCCCCATCACTGGGATCACAGATAGCCTATGTGCTACCATGCCTGGCTTTTTACATGGGTTGTAAAGACTTAAACCAAGGTTCTTATGGGGGCAGTAAGTGTTCTTACATGCCGAGCCATCTCCCAAACTCCAAAGTAGCTCTTAATTTTTTAAATTTTAATTTATTATTGTGTGTACACATGATGTATGTAGGTGGGCATGAATGGCATGATGCATATGTGGAGGTCAGAGGACAACTCTGTGCAACTGGCTCTCACCTTCCACTTATATGTGGGCTCTGGGGATCAAACTCAGGTACAGCATGGCAAGTGGCTTTCCTTGTTATCAGTTCACTGGTTTTTGTTTGTTTTTAAAGAGAAAAACTTCCTTCATAAAGATCTTCAGGTATTGCTTTAGGCTATTCACTGGCATTTGAGCATCTGCTATATACTGTGCTGAGAAAAGATGTGCTATAAAAAAGCAAAAGGCATGGAGCTTGACAATCCAGCCAGCAGTCATGAAGAGCAAAGCACTGTTGGTCCAGGAAGATTACTAGAAGAGAGTGTCTGACATGGTCAGGAGGAATGGGTGGGATCTGGCAGAGAACCACCTGGGCCTGGGTCAGCAGCGCTCAGAGCACTCCTGCTTTTGACCCTAGGGATGACTGAGCAATGTCCTGACCTGCTTCCTCTCTCCCCTAGGCTGTGCGGCGATTTCTGAAGCTGGAATGTAAGTGTCATGGTGTGAGTGGCTCCTGTACTCTACGCACCTGCTGGAGAGCACTCTCAGACTTCCGCCGCACTGGTGACTACCTGAGACGGCGGTATGACGGGGCTGTGCAGGTGACTGCCACCCAGGATGGTGCCAACTTCACAGCAGCCCGCCAAGGCTATCGCCATGCCACCCGGACTGATCTTGTCTACTTTGACAACTCCCCTGACTACTGTGTCTTGGACAAGGCTGCAGGTGAGAGAGAAAGAAGCAGGCAGAGAGACACGAAGCCTGGTATTTAGTGCAAGCCCTTCTGCTTCTTCCCGGTCCGTCCAGTTTGCAGGAGTTAAGGAAGGCCAAGGAATCAGTTGCCTCCTTACATGAAAATCTGGACTTGAGATAGGTGGTTTGTGCCTCAGGCTGCCAGGCCCAAGGCTGCACAAGTAGGTCATATGTCATTCTACTGTATCTCCAGTGTCTGGGAAGCAGTAGGTACGACTCAAAGAACATTTAAACGAGCCACCTGTTTTCAGTTCTGAGCTAGATGCAAGCTACACAGAAGCATCCGATGTAGCATAAGCCTTTGGCTTTTTACAGTCCAGCTAAAGAAACGGATGGAGCTGGGGATGGAGCTCAGCTGATATAGCATGTGCTTAGTATGTGCAAGGCCCTGGATTTGACACCCACTAAAAAAACAAAAACAAAAAAAACCCAAAGCGATACAGTAAGCAAATGTAACTATAAAGAAAGATGACTAGCTGGGCGATAGTGGCACACACATTTAATCCCAGCACTCAGGAGGCAGAGGCAGGTTTGGATCTCTGAGTTTGAGGCCAGCCTGGTCTAGTTCCAGGACAGCCAGGGATACAGAGAAACCCTGTCTCAAAAACAAAACAAACAAACAAACAAAAAGGCAAGACGACCAGCGAAATCAAGGAAGATTTGTTTGAACATGAGGAATCAAGCTGCTTCTTGATGTGCTGCCACTGCAGATTCCAAAAGGATCGAGGGAGATAGGTGACCTGCAAAGGCTGCTGCAGCAGCAAACACTTGATAAGAGGCAGAAAATGGCTGTTTTTCAGTCACTGCAAAGTGGTGAGGTGTTTCTATGAGAGAATGGGAGCTGCCATCTTGGCTCCTAAGTTCTGGTCTGGATAAGTTAAACCAGGCCAGTCCCTGTCATTGGGCTCCAGGCTCTTTGCTGGAGATTCACTAGTCAGATTGGGTAGAGCGGAGCCCCACACCTTGGCTGGATTCAGTTCTGTTTGTTTCACTCTTGTCATTCCTCAAGTGTCTCAAGCACTTCATCCCACAGAGGGGTGGTGTTCCACCTGGATAATGGAAGATGTATATATATTTTTGTAGAGAGCGAGGAGTAAAGAGCCCTTGGGACTCTCCTAGTGAGGTATTGTCATGAGTTAATTTTTCCATGTGGTCTAATTCAGACATCTCTAGATGTTTGGGGATAATTCCACAGCTCCTGAAGTGTAGATCTGTTTTATCATCTCTAAAATGTACCTTTGGAGAAGGATCTTTGGAGTTAGGAAGGAGGACAAGTCATATGCATATTAATTTTTCTCAGAGGCATAAAATTAGGTCCCATAAACCCAAAGAATCCACACCCATGGAGTATGGAACCAGGTATTCCCTCCACAGCAGTACTATCCAACGAAGCTCCCTACAATGATCGAATTTCCATTGCTGCTGTCTCCCTCATAGAAGCAACAAGCCACATGTGATAACTGAGCATGTGAATCACATGTCTCCTCTTATCTATGGAGGATGTGCTCCAAGAGCAGGGGATGCTTCTTCTCAGACACATATATACCTGTGGTGAAGTTTAATTTGTAAATTAGGCATGGCACATGATGAATGACAAGAACAAATAATAAGCTAGTAGATCCATTGTTTTTGGTGGTGCTATTGATCTTGCAGTATGCTGGGCAAGGCTGTACCACTGAGTCACAAATAGGACAATTTTAATAACATAGTGTGATAAAACATAAGTTTTAATCATTTGTCTTTGAATTTTCCATATAATACTTTTGGAACTACAGTTGATGTTGGGCAGCAAACTACAGAGACTAAAACCATGAACATGTGTGGCCAACTACTACAGAGTCCAATTCAAAACTGAAACATTTTAGTTTAGCCATTTTAATTTAGTGAATTTAAGAGAGCATGTGCAGTCAGTAGCTATACTGGACAGCATAACTCCAGACTGTAGAAAAGGATTTTGGTGTTTACTCTTGGAGTTAGAATAACATATGAAGTAGCCCACATTCTAGAGTAGTAGTTTGCTAACATTTACATTAATTATTCCTGTTGTTAAAAAAAATGGAGGGGGCTGGAAAGATGGCTCAGAGGGCCTGAGTTCAGTTCCCAGAACCCACATTAGGCTGCTCAGAACTGGCTGTAACTCCAGCTCCTGGGGATTGATGCCCTCCTCTGGTTATGAGGGCATCCACACACAAGTGTGCATACACACAAAGGCACACACACACACACACAAATAAATAATATCTTAAAAAGTAAAACTGAGGGCTGGAAAGATGGTCCAGCAGGTAAAGGTGCTTAGCAAACCCTGTTAACCTGAGTTTGATGCCCCAAGAGCCATAATGTAGAAGGAGAGAACCAACTCCCACAAGCTGTTCTCTGACTTCTGCATGTATGCTGTGGCCCATGCATGCCCATAACATACATACATACACATAAAATTTTAAAAGAGAAAACTGAGCATCTACTTCCACTGTATATGTATTTGATATTCCACTCATATTGCTGTACTGTGTATATTATAAGATGTGCATGCTATTTATGTTTCTGTTGTCATCATCATTGTTATAGTGCCAGGGATCCAATGTAGGGGTTTGCAAATGCTAGGCTCGTACTTACCACTGAACCACACTCCTAGCCCTAAAACACAGATTTTAAACCAATAAGCTAAAAACAAAGATAAAAGTTCTGCATTTTTCTCCCCATGTCCTAGTAGAATATGGAGACTACTGCTGTTGAAGTTAGTTGAGTCATTTTCTTGCTTGAAATCTCAGGCCAATCACTTTTCCATTTCTGGAGAAAGGGTCAGTAGGATCTTTTGTGCTGACATCTATTGGGATGAGGCCCTGAACATTCCTTGTGCAAGGACAAAGCTATCTTCCTCTTCAAGAATTCCTTCTGAAAGGGGTATACCACAGGAACTCCTCAGAGATATGCCTCCAGCCCCCATATGTTAGATAGCAATGATAAATGCCCCATAAAAATCCATTACATTCAATGGTGAGTTGTTTTGTTTCCCTGAGTCAGGATCTTGCTATGCATTCTAATTTGGCCTCAAACTTATTACATATCCCAGGCTAGCCTAAAACTAAAGTGACTCCCCTGCCTTCATGTTTTGCATGATGGTGTTATAGGCATGTGCTACCATTCCTGCTAGTTGTTATTTTATATATACTTTCATATATGGAAACTGAGGCCCAAATACATTCATTAACTTGCTAAATTACTACAGCTATGAAGCAGAACAACTAGAATTTAAATCCAGATAATATGACATCACAACCCCCCCCACAAAATCAGAGAACCTCACCCAGGCATACAGTTCTTACAATTTTTTCTTTTTAAATATTTTATTTATTATGTATACAGTCTTCTGCCAGCATGCCAGCAGAAGGCACCAGATCTCATTCAAGGTGGTTGTGAGCCACCATGTGGTTGCTGGGAATTGAACTCAGGACCTCTGGAAGAACAGTCAGTGCTCTTAACTGCTGAGCCATCTCTCCAGCCCCAGTTCTTTTTTTTTTTTTTTTTTTTTTTTTTTTTTTGAGACAGGGTTTCTCTGTATTGCTTTGGAGTTTGGCCTGGAACTCGCTCTGCAGACCAGGCTGGCCTCGAACTCACAGAGATCCACCTGCCTCTGCCTCCCGAGCGCTGGGATTAAAGGCATGCGCCACCAATGCCCGGCTCCAGCCCCAGTTCTTACATTTTCAAGTTAGATTCTGAAGAGGACATGGCAAGAGAGGGACTGCAGGTGAAATTGGCAACTTCTGGGGAGCTTTAATGGTGGTAACAAATGAACCTGGGCCAGAGGGCACTGAATGATCATTTGGTTAGTGGATATATTTTCAGAAAGAGAGGCTCTTTATGGCTTGTTAAGAGTATAAGGGTACCCAGAGTGGCTAAAACAAAAGTAACTCGGTTCTCACCTCTCTTCCTCAACTCAGGTTCCCTAGGTACCGCAGGCCGTGTCTGCAGCAAGACATCTAAAGGAACAGATGGTTGTGAAATCATGTGTTGTGGCCGAGGGTACGACACAACTCGAGTCACCCGTGTCACCCAGTGTGAGTGCAAATTCCACTGGTGCTGTGCTGTGCGGTGCAAAGAATGCAGAAACACTGTGGATGTGCACACTTGCAAGGCCCCTAAGAAGGCAGAGTGGCTGGACCAGACCTGAATATGCAGATACCTCATTCATCCCTCCACCTCAAGCCTCCAACTCAAAAGCACAAGATCCTTGCATGCACACCTTCCTCCACCCTCAATCCTGGGCTGCTACAGCTTCTGATATGGACTTGGAAAGTGATCCAGAGGGACCCCAATGTCCTGGCTGGTTCCTTAGCCCTAGGAAGGAGTTGATAGGGGATGGATATGAGATTGAGTGGCTCCCTGATGTCCCATCTGGAGGTTTGAAGGGAGAGTAGAAGAGGTAGGAATCTGTCTTCAGAGTGATTTGAGTTGCACTAAAGTCAAGGCTCATTTTCCCCCTTGCTTGCACTGACTTCTGATACTCTTTGGGTATGCAACAGAAAGGGAATCTGGAAGTAGCTTCCTTTTTGATCCTACTGTAGCCAAGGACAGATAGGACAGAGATAAAAACTGTCTGTCCCTTCACTGGAGACAGTTTGTGCAGACAATTTTAGGGTATAGTATTCTGCTGGGCCCCTGAGATAACTAGATGTGTTAGCCATGGTGAATAAGGCTCCATATCATGCTCTTACACAGCTTGTAAACTAGTGGTTTTTTGAGGGAGGAAATGACATAACTATACAAATACACAGTCTCTGTATCGCCTTTTCAATCTACATCAGACAACAGCAGCCTGGGGGCTGCCTGTTCAGAGTAAGGTAGTTTGCAGTGGTTCAAAGTCTTAACAGACCATTAGAGCCCTGGAACAGAACTGTAAGAGAATAGTATAGTAAGCCTGGCTAGGCCTTGGGACTTCCCCCCTATCAATTATTCTGGACATTAGGTAGGTTTTGAAAAGACTAAGTAAAAGGCAGGCAACTCATGGGAGGGTAAGCACAGCTGATCTGAAGGGTTGCATGAGGACCAGTGTACACTAGGCAGGCAGAGAGCTCTCATTCTGGCAGTTCTCTGGGAGAGGACCTTCAGCACTGAAGTAGGAGCAAAAGCAAGTGACGATACAGAGAAAGAGCCGGGGCTGGAGCCAAAGTGATAAACGCCTTAGAAGACAGTAGCCTTCCCCCATTTACTCAGCAAATCTTCATTTTGTGATTCTCCAAGTCCTACTGATAACTACTGTCCATTCCATGATTGACTTACACAGGGAGGGTTCCCTCTATGCTACTAGCTATTGCCTAACTAGCGTATGCAGTGGTGGAATCTTCGAAGGCAGCAGGCATGGTAAGCTAGGTAGGACATGGGGTTTGAAATCTTGATGGCCTACACAGTGATCATCTTCTTGCCTATTGATAAACAGCAACAGTATTGAAATCTGCAGTTATGTCAGACCTAGGTTTAATCCCAGCTATTTACTTGCTGTGTTCTTTATTTTCAGCAGGGTCTTTAGATTCTCCTGGCCTATTTTCTTATCTGTAAAATGAGGGTGCATGCCTCACTCAGATATTGAGATTTAACTGTGTCCTAAACGCCAGCCAACAGATACACTTCATCAAGCCTCTGACTGGTCAAGTACATCCTAACTTCTCTAGGAACTTCTAATTCAGGACTGTCTGGTCTTGACAACAGACTGGAGATTAAGGAACATTCACAAGGAATTCTGCATATAGGGCCTCTCTCTTCTCTCAGGTTCCTCTTCATCCAATCAGGTTCTCAGATGTTTGTGGAGCAACTTCATTTTTGTCCAGGCAGCAGGAGGTGGGGAGGATATGTGTGTGTGGCTCTGGCCACAGAGGCAGATTTATTTGGATGATAGGACTAATATTTGTGTAACCTGCTGAGACCTGTGTGGGAGAGTTTAGGGTGGTTTTTCTTTTGGTGAGGGGATTTGCTCTGGTTTCACATCCATTAACACAAAACATGAGCTAGTCAGGGCCCTTGTGGTCTGTGGTGAGGGGATGACTGGAGAAATGGGACTGAATGAGTCAGGCCGAGAGAATGTCTTCCTTGCAGAGTAGAGTCAACTGGATAACTGATGAGCTGGTGGTGGGATTAGGGAGGGGGAATGGGAGGGGAAGAAGAACTTCTCTTAAAAGGAAGGAAGCTTTGGGAGGAGGGGTGAGACATCCAAGTTTCTACATCAATGATGGCATAGGCTTCAACGGGAAAGCCAACCTGAGTTTAATCTACCTGTTCGGTACCACCTACTCTTTGATTTGGGGTTCTTAGTTTATGGAAAGATGTGGTAGACCTCTGTGGCATCTCATAGTACTCCATGTAATTCTAGCTGATAAAGATGCACAACCGCTTATAAATGGTTAAGAGAGAAATAGCTGTCCAGGGAGTGAGAAGTTTGTAAAGTGAGGTGTTTATATGAGAGAAAAAATGTCTATCTGAGCCCTGCTACAGAAGCTGTGTGGCCCCAACAAGGAATGATGGCCAAGCAATTAATTTCTCCTTAGAACTTAGCTTGTTTCTGCATTCCAATTGGCTTTAGACAACTGGCGTTCATTCTCCACTATACAAACAGAAACTGATTTATTTGGAACAAGCAACAAAACAAGAGCTTTATTTGGTGCTGGGCTCCATACAGCTCTGCTACTCCTCATCTGTTGTGAAGGCCCCTACCCCATTTATTCTCTGTGGTAGAAGTTTATCCTCCATCGGCAGTGTCTTAACTTCTTTCCCCCTACCCTTTCCCCTTGTTAGTCCTCATTTCTTTTAACTTCTGATAAATATTTAGTACAGTGCATTTCAGTAAGTGCTATTTGGATACAAAGTGAACTTAGAAGATACTGTTTCTATCCTTTAGGGTTAATAGAGTCTTTTGGGGGAAGGCACATGACTAACGTACCTCAGCTGCACAGCCTGCAGCCAGTGTCTTTTAAACAGAAGAGTCAGGGTTATGGCTCGCACTCTGGAAGGCTGATGCAGGAAAACTGCTGTGTTTGTGAGCAGGCTGTGTTAGACAGTGTGTTCCATGCTAGCCTAAGAACACATGTGAGACCCTGTCTCCAACAAACAAAAACCAGAAAGGAAGAATGCCAGTCATAGCCTATAATCCAGCACTAGAGAAAAGAACCAAAGTTTACTGTTTCAGCTCTAAATAATGGCATTAATTCACACTCTTCATTAGAGCAAATGTAAATGTAAATCAGGGACTTCAGATTAAAAGAAGAAAACCCTGTCCTGAGGTTCTGCTTGCAAAAAGCTCTGTGGATCTAACTTATGAGCACTCTTGGCTTCATTTCTCTTCCTCTTTGCTGCAGGAGACTGTTCTTCCCCTTTCACACCCCTTATCAAGAACACCAGCCACCAAGCGCCTTGCCAGATTCTTAGACCCATTCAGGACAGAAGTTTCTGCATGGCTTAATAGAAGACAGATAATCAGGATTTCCCACCCCCACCCCTGCCTTTCTAAAATTTTTATTTAAATGCTCTCAGTGGTCATAGGGCAGAAGCCCAAGCTAGCTTGGGATAATGGAGGCCGCCAGGGAGAGTATGTTTCTCATCCCTGGGAGGCATTCAGCCTAGCTCCTGCAGCCAAATTACAGCAGCAGAGAACAATGCAGCGCATTCCTGGGCAGGTCGGTGGGCCCTGGGCGCCTGGGTCTGGTGGAGAGAGGTGCCAGACACAGAGTGCTCCGTAAGCAACCCTGCAGAGCTGGCCCTGGGTGCAGAAATGAAATACAGAGAGCTTCACATTACACACCTGGTTATTGATGGCCTCGCTGGAGGCCTCTGCCCCCACCTTCCACTTGGGAACTGCCTGTACTGCGGGGGTTGGGCATCTTTGAAGCAATGCTGGAAAATAAGAAAGACATGCTTCCTTCTTACTCTTTGCCCTTCCTGTCAGCCTGAGCACAACCATGAGGACACACACATACACGCATGCAGAAGGTGTGCTCAAAATGGATTCACACAGCTTTTCTCAGGCTGAATGGGAATTACAGTAGCCTCACCTCTCCAACAATTAAAAACTAGCAACCAGATCCCCCCTAAAACCATACCAACAACAGGGTCAGCTACAAGCAAGGAATGTTTCAAAACTACATTATCAACATGCAATGCAATGTTTGTTTTGGGAATTGGTACTCTCCCGGGAGGTGGTGGAGGAAGGACACAGAAAGGGCATGGAGAAAAGAGATCAAGGGTGGAGAATTACCACCCAAGCAGAGTGGCTGAGGCTGTGCAACTTCTCAAACCTGCTTTGCACAGAGGACAGGGAGGAGTGCATCCTATGTGTCCTGACTGGCCAGTCTCCCGGCGACTGCTTTGAGGTGTACACAGTCACTGAGCTTGGTGTTTATGACCTGTTGTTGTTTTGAACTTACTGGGCTACAAAACAGGGCACCTTTGATTCCAGGAATGATCTCTGTAAGAGAGGTGGCTTCAGAGCACAAGCTTTACTGGAGTAAATACGTTGCTGACTGAACTCAGCTGTCTCAGGAGCGGTTTTTCTCTTTGGATGATTGGCATGTTTTAGGTAGTAGACCTGAACCTAGCCCCAAAGTTAAAAGGGACAGAAGTCTGTAAACTACTTACCCCGCTTCCCTGCATATCCTGGATTATCTCTGAGCATCATTCAGGATTTGAAAACACAAGATGAGCATTCTCTGCTCTGCTCCCTAACTCTGAGGTACCTTTTCTTTGTTCATTTAGAGCAGCAGGACATAGGAGTTCTTTAACCAAAAAGGCCAAAATTCTGATGACATTTTGTCAATACTACTAGACCCTGTATGCAGCCAAGCCAGTTTCATCCTTCGACACATTCCAAGGTGGGGCCTTCCCCAAGAATAACAGTAATGCTCACAAAAGCCTTTTGTGCACAAAATGCTTGGGCTGTAGTATAGATCTCACAATCACACCAGGGGTTGTGAGGTGGGGAGTACTCTATGGAGCCATTCAGAGGGGTTGAGTGAATGATCCAGCCAGAATACAAACCTAGTTTGGTTTTTTTTTTGTTCTTGTTTTTCTGTTTTGCCCCTACTTCCCAAGACTGGGTCTCTATAGTCCTGGCTGTCTTTGTAGACCAGGCTGGCTTTGAACTTACAGAGATCCACTTGCTTCTGCCTCCCAAATGCTGGGATTAAAGGCATGCACCACAGTTTCTTTTGTTTTTGTTTTTAAACTTCAAATACTATGTACTTTCCTCAAAGCCCGGGGATGCTGGGGAGGGCGGGATTGTGGTGGTGCTAGAGTACCAGAACTTCAGAACAGACATTGCCATTAAGAGCGCCAACCCATACACGAATCCTAAACGGCCAGCAGAGTATCTGGGGGGGGGGGGGCTTGTAAAGGCTAAGCCTCCATTCCCCTAACTTCATCAACATGTCTCATTTCCACTTTGTCACTGTTAGCATCACTATGCGGTAGTCACTCAACAAAGGACTCTGCATCTCAACAGCGTCTGCTTGTCATTGTTTGTAGCCCCACTCCAGCCCTCAGATTAACCTTAACATCGTTGTTTTATTTTCTCTAAGTTCTTTTCCAGTAGAGCTCAATGCATGGGCAGAGTGGAAGTAGTCATGAGAAGAAATGAGTGTACTGTGGGCTTGTATTAGAATTTCCTTTGAGACTTCATTCTTTTTAAGAATCACTACCAAGTCCTTGCTAGGAAAGCTAGGATACCGTCCCACCCAAGCCCACCCAGGATCCAGCATAAACCCCTAGACTGACGCAGGCAATTCATCAACCAGCTGTGTCCAACCTTGACAATACAATACAAAGTCTTCAACTCAAGAAAAAAAAAATCATATAACTTCTCATGTTTTAAGTAAGCTTATAATTTTGTGTTGGGCTACATTTATAGTTATTCTTTGCTATGTGCAGATACAAGTGGTTTATGGGCTGCAGGCTGGACACACCTAAAACAAAGGATATCTATGATGCAGAGAAAAATCTCTAAAATGAGGCAGTCAGCAAATTTCGCTTGATCAAAATTGTGCTTCTCTCATGCCTTCCTTCTGCCCCTACTCAAAATTGGGGCCTCAGGAGAGAAGGCAGCTCAGACAGCTCCTCCCTGTCCCACATGATTGTACACTTGGTTAGAGATAGGGTAAGCCCTCAGATACCCTATGCATCCCACTGGTATACCCCAACAGAGAAGTCAGAAAGGAAGCTGCAGAAACAGTGTTCATCAATCACGGGCTGGGACATTACAGCTCTCTGACCTGGGCCCCTGCTTGAGCGAGGGAAAGAACACTTACCTATAGTCAGGATTTCTCCTGTAGCAAACCTTGGCTTTTGGTCCATCCATCTTGGCTCTCACTGCTCTCCTGCTTTCCACCCCCCAACTGCCTCCACATGTGGGCTCAGAGTCATCATCTAAAGAATTCCACTGCTCACCTCCTGCATAGCAGCACAGCCCCATGAGGCCGCACACCAGATGGAGGGGATAAAAGTACGAGGTCATGGCTTCTACAAGAGGTTTTTCTTAAACTAACCCTGACTTCTGGAAAAGAGTCAGAGCAGGAGTATGTCTGCTGAGCGCTGACAGCAGCAGCTTCATAGATCTTGTGTGAAAAGGAAGGAGAATTAATTCTAAGTTGGCTTTCAGTGGGACTTTCCTGACTTCTGTCTTTGGGCCTACTCCTGGTCTCACGTGTGTAGCCTGAAGATGTCTGAGAAGAATGCAAAGATGGACAAATCAAAGGGCTAATATTTCCTAATCACAGGACCTACATGCTGATGTGGAGGCCTAGCCCTCAATAGATGCCTTGTTTCTCTAGGATCCAACTATAAAGGAAAAGGAACGGGAATGAAGGTGCACTAGGACCCTGAGGACAATGAAAAGGCCGCCACGAGTAGGCCTTCAAAGGTTTGAATAGAATGAAAAAGGCATGGGTTAGAGAGTGAGCATCATGTTTGTTAGGAGGCAACATACAGAAACAGCAGTTACAAAGAGACAAACAGTTAAAAGGCTGGGAAACACATCTTAGATGAAAGGAAATGTGAATGAGATTCATCAGAGGTGGTTTTCCAAAGGAGATACTAGAGAGCTGGAGTGTTATAAGATAAGGCATAACAGCAAGAAGGCAGGCAGAGGAAAGCATTCTATGTTGAAGGAACTGGTGTATGCTGAAGCTTACAAGCAAGAATGTACAAGCAATATGTGAGGAATTTCAAGGAAGTATATCCTATATATGTTGGGGAATACAGAGAAATCAGAATGCTGAGGACAGAGCTTTATTATGAGGTGACTGTGTCAAAAGGTTCAGAGTCCCAGAAGAGCCACACAACAGCTATGTCAGTGAACTCCAGGGCATCTATGGGAGAGCACTGGGATGAATTCATTTGATACACATACAAGGACTCAAGGAGATGGCTGTTTGTGAAATCCACTAAAATGCTGGTCTGTGAAATCCTTATCATTTGAAATTCTGGGTTAATTAGGTGATGTTAAATATCCAGAGCTATAAGATCCATTAATACAGTTTTAGGTCCAATACCTGATATCAATCAAGTCAAATGCATAAAAAAATGAATGTAAAAAAAAGAATTTACAGTAGAAAATACATTTCTTCCCTTTACTCCAAACGTTAAAACTCGACTGACTCTCATATTCCATTTGGTATATTGGAGTTTTGTGGCCACAGATTTATCATATCTGAGGACACAGTGGACAGAGGAAAGCTTTAAAAGAACTTTAGAGACCACAAACAAGTTGACTGATAAATGAGAAGACAGTTCTAACTACAGGGCACTGGATCAACAGCCAAAGGTGGACAAATTCTGAGACCATGGTTTCCAGCTAGATCTTGCAGCACTTAGATCTATTGAAGGCAAAAACATTTTTTTTAGCAGGCTTTTGTTATACTTGACAGAATTTCCTTAACTTACAAGGACAAACAGCACGCAGGCAATCCTGCTCCTTTATTCAGTTTCCTGATGCCAGCATAAATACTGGTTGAGCATTGGACCCAGCACACATACTTTAACGCTCCTTGAATAAGCTCAAAGGTGAGCAGTGTCTCTAGTCTCTGCTTCACCTAGCGGCATGAGTGGGTGTGGAAGGGAGGCAGCGACTTCACGACAGTGATGTTTGTTAGTGTCATCTCAGCTTTACCCCTCCTCTCCTAGGCAGTTTACTAAAAGTGATTTCTGAGACCCTTCACAAAAGGAAAGCTCTGGGGTTACATTCAATTGTGACACCACTATGAATTCATTAAGCAGCATGTTTCAGGTTGCACTATAATTTCTCCTGTAATGTAAACCCATGGAATCTGACATAAGCTGATTGCTCATACTGGTCATTTTATTTACATTTCTGAATGGAGGGGATTTCAATACTCATAAAATATCTGTCTTATTTTTCATCTGTTCTCCCAGGGCAGCTATTATAAAATAGGCCTAGAGACAGAAGCCTCAACTTGCATGACTGGTTAAGCAACAAGGGCAAAGTTATTGCTCAAAAAGCAATTTTAAAAAACTCAATATGGAATTTGAGGCTGAAACAGAGATATGGTTACTCTTAATGCCATTCAGAAGATAAAAGTTTGCGAAAAAGGCTAAATAACCATATTCCTTATCTTTGTTCCAGTGCTGTGAGAGCGGGGAGTAGCTTTGCAGAGTTCAAAGGGCTGGAGTTCAGTCTTCCTAGAGACTGAATGCTAGCGGACACAGTAGTGTCATAGGAATGCAGGTGAATAATGGTTGGGAATGGGCTCCCTACCACACAGAAAGATGAGTATGCCTTCTTACCATCAGGTTACGAATTAGACACTGCATTAGAAATTGTCATTATGCATCTAATTTTCTGTCTAGAAATGGACATTCTGTTAACCTACTCAGAGAGTGACCATTTCTGCTTACTTCAGTAGGTTTAGCAAGCTGAGAGAGATTGTCTGAGAAGTAACAGTCACCAGGAAATTCCCAAGCCTCCATCTTCTGCCTTCAAGTCATTACTCAAATTATCTGATATCCCTTCATCTGCTATAGCACTGAGTTAATTCAGCATATTCTTTACCCTCTAGCATAGCTCTTGGGTCTACTCTTCTACTCCACACACTTCATGATTCAATTATTTTTCCTTTCCACTGATTATGTATCTGACTTGTATAAGTCAGTAGGCACAGGTTCTGTGCCTACTTTAATATGTACATGGTAATTCTAGTACTCAGAATGCTGAGGCAAGAATGATTGGGATTTGAGGATAGCCTGGCCTACACAGTGAGACCCTGTTTCAAAACAGGAATATCCTAAGATCACAACCTCAAGGATCCAGTTACTTGCCTGAGGCAGCACAGAAAAGACAAGAACTATATTCGGGACTGGAGAGATGAATCAGCAGTTAAGAGCACTGGCTGGCCTTCCAGAGGACCTGGGTTCAATTCCAAGTACCTACATAGTAGCTTACAACTGTCTGTTCCAGGGAATCTAACACCCTCACATAGACATACATGCAGGCAAAACAGCTATGTATATAAAATACAAATAAATAAAAATTTAAAAAGAACTATTTTCACTAACTTGGGACACAAACCATCTTAGAGGTCCCTCCTATAAAGAAAGACTTGTGAAGGAGTCAGAGTTGAACAGCAACATGCAGCTTAGAACTTACTGCTGTCTCCTAGTATCCTTCTGTTTGGTTTTTTAAAATGTGCATGGCAGGTGCCTATGGTTAGTGCTGCAGGGTTAGACAGCTATGTGGTGAGTGTGTGAGCTCTGGGAGATGCAGGGCCATTGTCTCCTGTCTTCTTCCCCACATAAACAGAAGTAAAGTAATTAGTTCTGACCCACTATTCTAGTCTGCTCCCATGACATCGTAGTATTTCATTTTCACCTGGGATGTCCTTCAGCCACTACTAACCTGTCACCATTAGGAATGAGATAATATAACAGAGGAAAACATATGGGTTAGGAGCTTTTATGGCAGTTACCTTGTGACAAGGGGGTAAGACTTTTCTTTAATGTGCCAATGAGAAGCTCTTCGCTTTGTGTTAATTCCTAAACTATTCATACAGATATTATATTGAATATTACATGTATGAAACTATGAATTTAGGCAGTGAGGTATAAAGATGAAAATATTCCATGTTACATCTTTGAAAGAGAATAAAGACACTTCTTTCTGTATCTTGCTGAACTTAAAGACTCCAACCAGAT